CATTGATTCAGATGCCCGATTTAAGCCAGTTAAGCCTGATTTATGATATAAGATGTTTTGGTCTTTGTGCTCCCATTAGAAATGAATCAGTACAAAAGAAAGTCATTCACAGTGCGGGTGGCTTTCACGTCCTTTTGACAAATCAAATATATAACCCAGATAAATAATTCCCTCGACCACAAAAGAGAGCTATGGCAAATTGCTTCAATGGGTTTCCACTGAGGTAATTGTCAAGAATAAAGAGATTGACTTCTTTTCCATGAAATCAGCAGCACAGTGGCAGCTAGTGAAGGGAGAGCCAGAGGACGCCTGACAGCCAGGGAGTGCAAGCTTAAAATGTTGGACAGTCTTGAAACTTTAATGAATACTGACTTAGGAAGTACATGTGGAATAGGTTTTTCTAAAGCTCTAAATTAGTGAAACCACAAGAATTGGAAAAAAAAAATGAAATGAAATGAAATGTGTTGAGTGTAAGATTTAGGGAAAAGACTGACTGTTGCAATAGCTTTGAGGGCTAAGCTGCAATTACATCATATTCTTCAGTTCAGAGAGTTCATGAAAGAATATACCGTTTGTCTAAAGAGGTTCCCACTGCTATGGTCAACTACAAACCTAATGCTAATTGTTCATCAATTATTTCAATACAAAGCCTGTTCTCACTAGGAACCAATTAGGTTAAACTCCCCGGGTGAGGTGGGATCCTCTCAGTCAGCAATCCTCTGTTAAGTATAGTGCTGCTTCTGGCACTTGAAACTGAACACCCCTAAAATATGAAGCATGTGTAGGCATATTCTGTAGACCGCAGACAAACATAGATCATGAGGAGCAGCTTGCGTGACCCTGAATGCCATAAACCCCTCCACCACACCAACACGATCCCACTCGTAAAAACTCCATTTGTCCGATTGCACCTGTGCGTGTATTTGGATATCACATTCACCAAGTGTCACTCACTGAAGTGCACCAAGTCTGCAGACAGACACATAACCAGTCATTTGTACACATCAGCTCATCTTTCCATCGCCTGTGGCACTGTGTGCTTTGCAAAGCATGTCTCGATGTCATTTGTAATTATATTTATATAATTCTATCTAACTTGGGGAAAACATTTGATATGAGACTTTGAGTCTCACTATTGCAATAATCTTACTGTATAAATGTGAATTTTTCGTTTACATTTGAGCCAACAATAAAGGGTCTTGAAAGGTCTTGAGCAACTTTAGCAAAGAGAAGGCAGTGATTCGTGCGAAGCAGACCCTGGCAGTATAAACACCAGCGCACAAGTTGCACAAGCTTTAATTCAAGTCTTCATTCTGCCACTCCGCATCAACACAACAAAGTCAAGCTGTTGAAATGCGGGCAAACAGGACCAGGGGCTCGGGCAGCACATGTCCAAGAGTCCACAGCTCGGCTCTTGTACACGCACACTCCACGTGCACGGTGCGCTGGTACGTGCACACTGTTCGTGCACAGTGCGCTGGCACAACCTCAATGTGTTTGTGCGCTCCAGGGGAGAGCCAAAGAAAAGGGGCAGAAGAGCTGAAACAAACGCATGCTGGCTTCTATTAGTCGAGCTGTGCAGCGCAATGGAGGGGCGAGCAAACTTATTCATTCCCCTGCCCTCCCTGTCCCGTCCCTCCTGTCCCATTATCTCCATTCGGGAGAGAGGCGGAATAAAAGGGACAACCCCCCTAGTGACGGCACTTCTGCCTCCAAACTTTACGCCAGCGCATTCTGACGGCTGCTTAATTGTACGTGATACAGGCAGGGTCTTTCTCTTTCAAAGCTAAAACAGATTGCTTCTCCCTGGGGAGGGGATTACTGGACAAGGAGGATGACAAAGCAGGGACAGTGCAGAGACTACAGAGGGGGTAAAGCTCAGACACGTTTCTGTATGTTTCTCTTTGCAGCAAACACAAGAAGATTATAGTGTCCATGTGTTTGAGACGCTGCACGTGTGTCACAACGGGACGCGCTCTGCAGATCTAACCTCTAATCAGGCTTCTTCAAATGGCTCTCCACACTTTCTCCACACCTCCGCACTCATCCCCCTTTCTCTCAATGCTGTCATGTCCTCTTCCACTTCTCCTTTGTCAGTCTTGACCCAGCTCTCCCTTTCGGCCTCCTAAAGCTCTGCTGCATCTACCACCACTGACATACGAACAAAAGCATCTCCGGACATCCCAGCAAAAGCATTACAATCCTCTTTCTCCTTATTCACCTTTAGCCACTAACGGCAACCCCACACTTTCTGTCACTCCATTCATTCCTGGGCTGAAACTACAAGGGCCTGGTCAGGGGTCAATCCTGGTTATTGCATAACTTAACCATTGAAAAACACATACATCATATATATTTTCACAAAAAAGACATTTTCTTCATAACTGCTTGTCAAATCCATGCAAAAGACAATAGAGAAATACCAAGCTTGTTTCAAGACAGGAGAATGACCTTAAAACCAAAACACTTGGGGGTGCTATTGTGAGCTCCAGATACTAAAATAGAAGTGTGTAAAGTTGCTGCAGGCATTCACATGTGCATGGTATATTTCTCCTGAGACATATTCACAGGAGTCAAAGCAAGGTCTGTGTTTGAACAAACTGAGAGCATTGTTTGATCAGCGAGGACAACAAAGAGCCCGAGAAAGTGGCTGACTCATCTAAAGATAGCCCTTTGGAGAAAACATGCACGAATGAATGCGAGCCAAATGCTGTCGTTTTTAATACTGGTTCATTTGGAGTTGATAGGAGTGTACAATCTCGCCTACCATACAATCAGGCCAGAATGAAGAAGACTGTCATTAACCTGAGGAGATAAACAATGGCTGGAGGAGAGGGCGGTTTAGGAAATCTTTTAACACAAAAACAGGAACACACAAGTATGCTGGGTTGGTTTGTGTATATAGTAAATAACTACTTTTGATTTCTTTTTGACTCTAACCCTTCATGGCTGCCTCCTGAAAATCACTAACCTTCAATGGTGCAGTATTTTGCATATTTATAACTTGGTACTCATCAAGGTATACAAACAGCCTCTTTATTTATATGGGCTTGGGGCTGATGGCAAAGTGCAACTTGTGCCCCCTTGTGGATAGTTTGCATAAAACTGAATGCAGTGAATTACATCCTTTGAAAGTGGTCGGAATAAAAACGCAAAAGAGAACCATGAATTGATTAAAATATGACTCCAGGTTTTCCAGTGAAAAGTATCACCCTGACTAAAAGCTACACTCAGACCTTCCAGGGCCAGCATAAAATCAATGAGGAACAAATGTGCACTGCTACATGTGTCATAACATGTTGATTTAAGGCTTCATGCATTTTTTGCAATTGTCCGACGTCAATGCCTCTGTCTGTTTTCATCAGTCGGCATGTATGAAGTCATGCAAGTTGTCTGGGAATCTCTGAATCACTTTGGCTGGCAATTTCAACCCCACACACGCATATCTGAGCTGAAGTAAAGTACTCGCCATAGTCACTCCGTGCCTTATCACAAACCAGGACTCAACTTTACTGCGTTCCCACATGCTCTAGTCTACAACATAGATTCAGATGATGGCAAAGCCGCTACTGGAACAACGTTTGTCTTGGCAAGCATCTACCCCTCAAACCTAATTATTTGCAGCAGCTGCTCTTGGTCTTGTTTGTAGCACAGAGAAACTAAAACTGTTTAAAGGATCTCCGCTCTTTCTCTTGTGAGCTGGCAAGTGTGCGCCGCATTTAAAACATCCCAAACGCTGCTTAGCCCTGCTCCGGGTAAGGTAATCACAAATTGAATCTATACACCGCGGGGCACAGTTTAAGTGAAGGAGTGATTTATGGAGCGGGCTGGTCGATACTGAAAGGCTGCGGTTTTCTCTGGGTTACTTCACTTTTGTTAATGAACTGAATTAATGTGTGTTTGTTTTTAATACAACTAAGTGGAACTGGGACTCTGGCAATTAGCTTTGACAGAGACCACAATACAATTGTCCTTCAAAACTACATCATGTCATTGAAATTCACAAAGAATTACCACATAAAGATAAAAACTACATTTTTAAAATACAGTCAGTGCTGAGGACTCCTCACATGCACACATCTAAACATCAGACCTCTAGAAACAATCAGCCTTATCTCCTGGTGATTTGTGACTAGCAGGAAGTGAATCTATGGCTGGTTTACGAAGGCAAACACAAGAGCATAGGACACAACAAAAGCTTTCACCTTTGCGACCAAGCTCTCCATGGAGCCAGGCTGCTGTCCACACAACCTTCACAGCTGCACAATCTCCACTGGCAAACACCTCGCACTCAAAAACACACATGCAAAGTGCCCAGGGCTAGCTAAAAACACTATACATCATATTCCCTTAAATAGCTCAAGTGAGGTGGGCATTCCCAAAGTCATGCCTTTTTGACATTTGGTTCGGAAAGCTCTCTTCAGCAGCTCATCCATTCTGTGGACGCTGACAAGATCTGTCACAAGTGTTTTTGGAAGAAGATTAATGAAAACTTATTTGGACCTAAATGGTGGATTGAAATTGTTTTTACTTGTTGAATAAATATTCCAGTTTAATTTCCCATTGGCAGATCTGGCATGCAAAAATAACACCATTGCTTTGAACATGCTCAATTAACACCAGTTTTCAAAGCATCACCATAAATCATTTTAGTGACACGGGTTTTCCAAATTTGCACAAGTTGTCAGTCTGTTACATTGTAAGAAATCAAAATTAACAGGTGAAGTCTTGTGCATTAGTGCAAAAAATATGACATTAATGGAATGCGCTGCCTTCTAATCCCCTGAGACGGAGGAATTTGCGACGAAGGGAATTCCTGTCATTCAGAGGGAAAACTATGAAGTGTTCGCACACACAGAGCGCTGCTGTACAGAGCCAAAGCAGAAACAAGCGCTGCTACAAATCCCTACTTATACTACAGGCTGCCACTCCTCACTGCAAGCTCAACAAGTCAAAATCTGTCCAAAAAGACATGGAAAACTAAGTGACAAAAGTCGTACCTGAAAGGAAAAGGAGCGGAAAGATTCCCAAGTGAGATTGCTCCAAGTTGTGCGTTGTCCGCGTGGTGCTTCTCTGCCGGGTCCAGCTCTTCTCATGGGGAGAGAGAGAATATGCTTCAGCTTTTAGGGCTCAAGACTCTCAGTGAAGGAGGAGAGGGGGGGACACGACCACACAGCTCCTGGGAGACAACCTCTCTCCTCTAATCCTCTCTCCGATGTGATGACACTCTGCAACCTCCACCATCTGTTGAAACACGTCCCGGAGCAGTCGGCAGCACCACTACCAAACCACCACTGCTGCTGCTGTGTCAAGGAGCCCCCGCGTGTCCCGGCCAATCACAGAGCGGCTGCTGGGTGGGGAGGCAGGGACAACAAGGACAAGGAAGGGAGACACACACGCGCATTCAAACACACACACACTCCCATGCAAGACACTGTGGAGAGTGAGGCAGGAGAAAACCCCCCTAGTCATCGTAACCTGAGAGGAAGAGGAGGGAGGGAGAGAGGGAGGGAGAGAGACAGGCAAGGGGAGGAGAGAGAGTCCAGGAGAGAGAGTGGCCAATACACTGTCGGAGATAAGAATACAAGCACAATTCAATGCACGGAGGAGAAGCTGTTTGAATTAATGTTCATGGTGACGTTTTCCAACAGTCATATGATTTCCTATTGTTTTATTGATTATAGTCTTGTTAGTCTAGTTGTGAGAATTCTCCTGCCAACTTGACTCAAAGTACAATTTGAAGTGAATCTTGCTTTTTTTTTTTTTTAAAATAAGAAAAGTATTCCTCATTTAAGTAAATTTAAGCTGTACAGGTGGCATTAACTTACATGATCATAACCAAGTAAATCTTAGTCTATTTAGTATCAAGACAACTCAATATATGCACAGGACATTTTTTGAACAAATTACTGTGAGGGCTTAAAGGTGCACCATAACTTTTTGGGTCCGTCTTGCTTGTTTCTATGGATATGTCATTGCTCTGCCTAGAATGTTCCACAGTACGGCATTAAACAGCTCTACCTGACATTTATTCAATTACACATGGTTTTATAGCTCAGAAATACCTAGAAAAACAGACATTCTGACTCTTGAGTGGGGTTGCCTCTCCACAGATCTGACCTGTAACTTGGGTCTGGTTTAGTCTCCATGAAGATAGAAAGGTTAAATACCATACTGTGTAACATTCCAGACAAAGCAATAACATCTCCACATAGAAAAGCATTTGACAGACCAGAAAAGTTACACAGTGCACCTTAAGCATGGTCCAGATACATCCCCTTAGCATTTAAATGATAAATGATATGAAGACTGTATATATTTATGTGTTAATGCTACTTAGTTCACAGCTCACATAAAACCCTTAAGAGACACGTATAAACTTCTCCCCCGTCTATGACCCTCTTCTTCCCCTGCAGCTACGGACTATGTGGTCCTGCAGAATCAAGCTGAAGCAGCAATAAAAGACTGCATTGGCTCCACGGTGGGACTGCTGTTGGCACTAAACTGTTACATCTGCAAGGCAAAGGAGCACAGGCAGCACCCCTCGCACCTACGTGTGATAAATCCTTACAGTCCCACGGCCGCATTCCTGGCCCTCACCACCTATTGCCTTAAGTGAAAGAAGGGGAGCAGAGGGGGAGACACTAAAATTACAAAGCTACGGCAAAAGAAAAAGGGAAGACTTTGGAGATAAGGTGGGTTTGGGTTTGCAGCCAGAAAAACAGTAGCGTTCGCGGCTTACTTTACAAAATATACATTCAACGGGAAGGGCATTCATCATTTTGTTGAGCCAACGTCCAACTCGCTAAGCCATTAAAAAAGGATTACGAGAGCACGGGTTCAAGAGCTGGCACTAATGAGTTAATGCTTGTTTGATATCTCACAAAGGGTTAATCAGAGGTGTGAAGCAGCCTGGCAGAGATCATTTACATATTAGAAGAATCGTCAACAGCCCAGCCGCTCTTTGATGCTTGTGTATTAGTTTGATTAAGGATTCTAAAAGGGAAGATCGCTCAAGGTGTGAATAGTTGTCACGTGAAACTCACCCACCTCAAAACAGAATTTACAGTCTACTATCATTTACCAATCTGATTACTCTGCACAAACACGCAAATATCAGAGGGGCTCCTATCTGATTCCCCCTAGGTTCACTTACAAGGATATTGGATTAAACTAGATAAAGTCTATTTTGCACTAAGGATGTGAGCTCTCCCTAGCCAGGCCTGATGTTTGTTACAGGGGCAGTCGAGAAGGAGAGAAGGCTCTTTGGGGGGAACAGAGCTCAAATTAGATTAACTAAATTCACAAAGACTGTCCCGAACCAGCCTCTCCAGCACAACTTCGCGCGCACCCCGGCCCCCCTCCCCATTCTCACGGCCGAGAGGTTTCCAAAAGGGCCTTCAGGCGGGCCAGGGGCTACCAAATCCCTACGCTCTTTACTGGATTAAAAGATGGCCACCCCACTGAGGAGCAGCACTGTTTTTGCGAGTGCTGAGCACATCTGTAAACAGGAGAAATCCACGGCAACGCAAGCTGATCCCTAAGGAGGAAAACAAGATGGCACAAAGAGATGATAACAAGAAAATGATGGAAACTTGTTATTTTAAGAGTTTTCTGTTTTTTTTACCTCCTCTGCGGGACAAAAGCTGCGATTGAGGGAGGACTATTAAACAGCCTGATCTTATGAATGACTGAGTGACCTGTAGGGGGTCAGACCAAATCCGTATTCAATCCCCTCAAAGAATGTCACAAGAATTTATAATGAAACACAACTTTATAAATACTGTATGTGTCTAATTTGATGCCATTTTAGCTTGCCCGATGTTGTCCTGTCCTGGAGTCCGCTCAGGCTGTCGTGGGCCTGGAGTGCAGGTGCAGCAGAGGCCAGTGTTGGGGGCCGGCTCGGTTCACTAACCTCATTCTCCATGGCTAAATGAGATACATAGGGGTGTCATAGCTGTGATCCGGCCTCTGAGGCAGTATGAAGGGAGCGGAAGCAACAGATTATAGCCTGAATATGAATGAAAGCAGATTGTATTGTAACACATAAAAAGAAAATTCTTGAAAACACTGTTGGAATTTTAAGAATCTATGGATCAATGTCGACACCACAAGCAACTGCAGAGATGTGGTCTGGATTATTAAAATGGAAAAGTTTACAGATTGCTTTCCTGGCTTTTTTCCTAGCCATTTGTAGTAGTGCACAGGCCTTCCTAATAATATGGCAGTCATTTCTGAAGCTGAATGAATTTAATACATTATATTTTGCAACAGAAAGTCAAACAATGAAACACCAAAAAAATAAATAAAAAGACAAGCTTTTCATTCATTTTGTGCAATACTTGAATCTCAACACAAGACATCTACATTCACATTTCAGCACATTCCTGATGAATTGTTAAAACATTGTCTGATTATTGTTATTGAAATTAGAGTTTATCAATATTGTCCACTCCACAGAATATCTAGAAATGTGATCTTCTCGGGTTCATGCTAAAGCTGAGAGTTGGGGTGCCCCGGTGTCCAGCAGGGAGGCAGCAGAGGACACGCACAGTTGGTTTTGAATGTACAGAGGAGGAATGAAAGGCAAAAGTACCGGACGGAGAAACACAGGAATATACAGTGGGGAGCAGGGACATGGAGTAACAAGGGTATAGAAAAAATAACAAACCCAGCAAGAGGGGGGAGGGGCGGAGGAGCCGATAGCAGCTGAACTTGCAGGACATGCGTGTGGAACCCTCACAGACTGGCCTCCTGCTGGGCCATGCATACACCCTTACACTCCACACGAAAATGCCACACGCACACACGCTCCGATTCATCTGTCACAGTAAGAAATGGAATCAATCATGGTTGGATCTTCTTGGACTCATTTTTGCCAGAGTACTTTGCTTGGCCCAGTTCAAATAAAAATTACTCCAAGAAGGTTTTTTTCTCAAAATAGAGAAGTCAAGTATGATGATGTTTGAAATCATGAGCAAGTAAATTGGTGTGGTTGATATTTTTTTCCCCTCATTGATCTCTCGATTTTCAATTTGTTTAAATTTTTTTCTTTCATGAATAAGATAGACTTAACTGGACACAAAATAGCTGTTTCTAACCCCAAAGTCTGAACTCTGCTGCAACATGTTTTCACTGACTGGCTGTAGACCTCTCCATTAAAAAGACCCTAGCTAATCACTGACAATTAGACATGATTAAATCTCGATTCAAATTCAACAGTTTGCCCAGTCCTAAATAAATAAAGACATGTTAGATACCAGTTGTTATTTTTAAACTTTTTTTTTTTTTTTTTTACAATTAAACCATTTGTAAATCACTAAAACTGTGCAACTGGTTTGAAGTTTGGGTTGCAGGGACATCTCTGTACTAATCACTTGTCCTTACATGTTTTTTATCTTGCTTTGTAGATTGTAGGTGATAAACCAAACAGCATCACATTTGTATATTTAAAGTGTGGGAGTCCCATTGAGACGAGCTGTGACTACACATAAGAGTGGTGTTGATAAAAGCGGAGTGTGAAGCGGTCCACAGGTAGTACTGCAGACAAATGCAATACGCTCACACATAATGAAGTCATTAGCAGCAACCCGAGATCAACTGTTAGCTAATGGTGATAGGATTTAGAGGCCTGTTCATAATGACATACAACAACACGGCCGCGCCAGGAGCCAGATGTGCTTTCACTTCAAGAGCACAGCAAAGTGGTGATCAAATGCAGACTAGTATAAGAGAGGAAACTAGACTGTTTTTTGTTTTTTAATCAAGACCAACACAAACAGCACAATCAATCAGAATATGGTAACACTATATAATTTAAACAAAGGTCAGAAAAAACACAAAACTTTTACTCTCTTAAATCTGAGGAGGTATCAGTTTTGATTTGGGTTGAGAGTGGGTCTTATACCGTTTATCTTATGAAGCCTACATATATTGATGTTGAAGGGAAAAGGCTATGCATTATCCACCGAAAAGATATTTTTAGAATATGTTTCATCAGCAGAAAACACTATCACAGCTGCCTTTTATCCTTATGTTAGTGACTTGATACCAGTTAGAGTTGTGGAAAACAAATACAACATAATAATGCTGAAGAGTATTGAGCCTTTTCCTTAGTATTGAAATGAAGTTTGCCATATTAATACTGTTTTGGAGTTTAACTGAATTTTGAGAGTCAGTCTGAAAGGACAAAAACTGCATCTAGAGAAAAAACATGTCCTCTTCTCTGAAATGACTCAATCAGA